GTCCGCCTGCCGATGCAGGGGACGTGGGTTCGTGTCCCGGTCTGGGAAGATCCCACATGCCGCGGAGCGGCTGGGCCCGTGAGCCATGGCCGCTGAGCCTGCGCGTCCGGAGCCTGTGCTCCGCAACGGGAGAGGCCACAACAGTGAGAGGCCCGCGTACCGCAAAAAAAAAAAAAAGGTATGAAGGAGGGACGTCCTTCTTGAACAAAGAAAATCTCTTCAATCCTAGTGAAGCAGTGGTTTGTGAGAAGACCTTACAGAGCCAAGGCCGAGTGGCGGTTGCCCTTGGAAACCAAGCGAACTTTCTTCCTGATTGGGTATCTGGTCATGAAGAGGGTTATGGCAGCCTGGCCTGGCTGCCATGCTTTTTTTTTTTTTTAATTCTTTTTTATTGAAATATAGTTGATTTACAGTGTTGTGTTAGTTTCTGGCATACAGCAAAGTGATTCAGCTATACCTGTATATATTTTTTCATATTCTTTTCCATTATGGCTTATTACAAGATATTGAATATAGTTCCCTGTGCTATACAGTAGGGCCTTGTTCTGGCTGCCATGCTTTCATGGAGATTTTCTTTTTTTAATTACATAAATGGAGAGAAAACAAAGGATAGAGGATAAAAGCCCATAACAGAGGGACTGTTGGTTTTCTCTCAGGAAAGAGACTTCAAAAACCTCCAGCAAAGCTTTGCTAATTATTACTTAGGCGGCCAAAGGGAAGCCTCTCTCCCGTAAGGCTAATGAGAGATCTGATACAAAGTGAGTGTTGCTCCTGAGATTCCTAATTCTGCACAAAATCAGAGAGTTTTTCAACCCAAGACAAGGTTAGGTGGTAGTTTACGAGAGGTTGAGTTCTTAGTGAGTTGACACCACGTTGTTCTTATAAGTGAAACTTACCCTGTGTTTTTTGTTTTATACATTTATTTATTTTGTTTATTTATTTTTGGCTGCATTGGGTCTTTGTTGCTGCACGTGGGCTTTCTCTACTAGTGGCAAGCGGGGGCTTCTCTTCGTGGCGGTGTGCGGGCTTCTCATTGTGGTGGCTTCTCTTGCTGTGGAGCATGGGCTCTAGGTGTGTGGGCTTCAGTAGTTGTGGCACGTGAGCTCAGTAGTTGTGGCTCGCGGGCTCTAGAGCACAGGCTCAGTAGTTGTGGTGCACGCGCTTAGTTGCTCCACGGCATGTGGGATCTTCCTGGGCCAGGGCTTGGACCCGTGTCCCCTGCCTTGGCAGGCGGATTCTAAACTGCTGCGCCACCAGGGAAGCCCAAAATTTACACTGCTTTGAATAATATATATGTTTATTTATGTATATTTACAAAAACACCTCTGGTCTGGCTCATAGGTTTCCTAATTCTCTCAGCTTTCCTGGCTGGAGAGGAGCGTTCCCTCCGACCCCCCAGGCCACCTGGCGGCCACGATGGGTACCGCAGTGTCCAGAGGGGACTCGTTTGTCCCCTAGGGGTGTCCATGCCAAATCCAGTTCCTTTTTAGTGATAGAAAAGACACATGGACTGATTCGCATCTCAGATGCTGATTTTTGTTTTTTCGGATTGCATCCTCCTGTCTTTGGGTGTGTGTGTGCGTACGTGCGTGTGTGTGTGTGTGTCTTATGCTATTATGATTTTTATTATGGTAAAAAACATATAACATAAAATTTACCATCTTTACCATTTTCAACAGTACCATTTATAGTAATACTGAGTGTATTCCCATTACTGTGAAACAGATCTCCAAAACTTTTCACCTTGTAGAACTGACACTGTATACCCATTAAGCTTCCACTCTCTCTGATTTCCTCCCTCATCATCTTTTAGCAGGGAGAGTTTAAGCCTCTGTCGCCAACCCGACGGCTGAGGACCCAGGGCTTCAGTGGAAAGCTGGCAGCTTGTCGCCTGTGAAGCACCCTCTTCACCTCGGATGAGAGCGGGGGTGGGGAATGGAGCTGAAGAAGGTAAAGCGGTTTCCCAACATGGGGCTTATGGACCAACACGGAAAGGGTGGTGCTGAGCTGGCAGCTTGCGAGACGGCCGTGGGGCAAACGACCGGGGTTCCTTCTCGTGGTCCCGCTCCCTGGAGAGGCGGGGGGGGGGGGGGGCGTAATCACGTGAGGCGTTCGCAAAGGAAAGAGAGGCTGGTCAGGCCAGCGATCGGTTCAAGGCAGTGGAGCTGAACTGAATCTGTGTCTCTTATGTCGAATTTGCCTTACGTTGGTACACGGAGAAGACTGTATTTTCCTACTGGTTAATGTGAATTAAAGTCGTATTTGCTTCCTTTGACGGAATCATCCCAAAGTGATGGGAAGCGGTCTCCCCGTGCTCGCTGCCCGCTGGTGGCCTCACTGCTGCTTGGGCTCAGCAGGGCCCTTATCTGCGGGGAGGAGATCTGTGATCACGGGTTCCTGTCCACTCCCTGCCATCCCCAGCCACAGGGTAGGACGTCTGTGTGTAAATATATATGTGTGAAGATATAGTCTATTTACATATAAAATGTGCTTCTATTTATAAACTGGAACGATAAACCGAAGACTGCAGGGCTGCAGGACAGGGAGAGATGCTGGGCTTGTCCGTCAGGGCTGCCTGTGGGCCTGGGTGAGAGGAGTCCCTGCCCAGGCCTGGGGGGTGAGGACCCCGTGGGCTGAGTTACGGGGAGCCAACACCCTCCTTTCTAGATCACAGGACTCTGGAACTCCCTACCCACGTGGCCCCAAGCCCACTTCTAGGGCCCCGTCTCAGGGTTCATCCTCCTGAAGGCTGACTAGGGCTGGTGTGTCCACATGTGTGTGTGCAAGGCCCCCTGAGCTATGGGGAAGCGGGGGTGGGGGGAATGGGACCAGGAGGGGCAGTGAGCAGCAGGCTGTCCTGTGCCGCCACGTTCCAGTGCGGAGCTCTAAGTAGCCAGGAATTCTACCTGGAAATTGGCCTCCACGTCTGTGAGGAAGTGCTTCTCTGAGAAGAGGATGGGACATATTCTATTTAAGAATTTGTTGGCTCGGGCTTCCCTGGTGGCGCGGTGGTTGAGAGTCCACCTGCCAATGCAGGGGACACGGGTTCGTGCCCCGGTCCGGGAAGACCCCACATGCCGCGGAGCGGCTGGGCCCGTGAGCCATGGCCGCTGAGCCTGCGCGTACGGAGTCTGTGCTCCGCAACGGGAGAGGCCACAACAGTGAGAGGCCCACATACCGGAAAAAAAAAAAAAAGAATTTGTTGGCTTGATTTATTACTTTAAAATACATGTCCACATAGAATGCGGGCCTCTGTCTGTAACCTTGTCCCAGGACCCACACATGTTAAGGTCAGTCTACTAATAAATTCACCTTGTTTTGTATATTTACCTTGGGAATCATGAAAATATTTTACATACCGATGGCAAAAAATTAAATTTCAAGGTGTGCTTCCTAAGTGTTGAGAGCAAAATGAAACATCTGAGCAGAACTGGTCTTGGGCCACTGGCACAACTACCTAGAAAGGAACTATTTCAGGTGGCTACAAAATGCAGTCATTTGACTCTACGTCCCTGGTGGGCCGTATTCTGAGGAAAAAAGAACTGTAAAACATTTTTAAAAACTAAGGCTACCCTGGTGGCGTAGTGGTTGAGAATCCACCTGCCAATTCAGGGGACACGGGTTCGAGCCCTGGTCCAGGAAGATCCCACATGCTATAGAGCAACTAAGCCCGTGTGCCACAACTACTGAGCCTGCGCTCTAGAGCCTGCGAGCCACAACTACTGAGCCCGCGTGCCACAACTACTGAAGCCCGCATGCCTAGAGCCCACACTCTGCAACGAGAGAAGCCACCGCAATGAGAAGCCCACGTTTCACAAGAAAGAGTAGTCCCCGCTCACCGCAACTAGAGAAAGCCCACGCGCAGCAACAGACCCAACGCGGCCAAAAATAAATAAAATAAATAAATTTATTTTAAAAAACCCCACTGTATTCAGTGACTCCTGTTTGTGGTGGTGTTAGGCATTTTTATTCTGGAGCGGTTGTGTGCACGTTGTGGAATAAAGCACAGCAGTTCTTTGGTTGGCATTTTTGAGGGCCGGAATACGCGGCATAAAGGAAGAAGTACAGATGTACCATTAATGAGTTAAGTAAAAATCCCATAGTCCTGAATCTGAATTGAAAATTTTAGTATGAACTCATATATCATGAACACGAAATTCAAAGTATTTCATGGTTTTGTCCAATAAAGATGTTTGAAAGCAGTGAACACCCCCAGAACACAAATCAGAGTATCTGAATATCTAAAACCATTTCCTGCCGAAAGGAACCAGAGCTGATTCCAAGTTTGGGAGACTTATTCCAAGATGAGCTCAGACTATCTCATTTACCGGAAAGTAAGGAGGTTATATCAAAGATGCTGACATCATGCCAAAGGAGCTGAAGGCCCCCACTGCTGCAGGTTGGGGATCTGAGGGCTACTTCAGGGGATGAACCATAATAAATTGCCCCAGACTTAGTAAGCTTTCAGTCTATTTGCTTCTGGTTCATTCCATGGACAAAATAATCTACTCAAAAAATCTCTTTGGGATGCAGACCTTAAGCCTGCCCCTAGGTCTTTTTCTATTTAAGGGTTTACACTGCCAACCTCCTCTTCCTCATTTTAACAGTGGCTTTCTTGAAGCCACCTGAAATGTTTGAGTGGAAAGCAACATCCCTAATCTGACTGTTGCTTCTAGCCTGGATCCTGTTGTCCGGTTGCAAAGTCTCCACAGGAGGCCTTTGAGAAAGGCTCTGAGCTTGTGCCAGGAGACTCTGCTGTTGGTGACAGAAGCAGCTGGCTTTTCCAGCCACTTGGTCAATTTCGATTGCAGGCCACAGGCAGAGTGGCCTTTCTGTCGCAGAGCTGCCTCCCTCCATCTTTGCTTGCAAACACACCTGACTTTATGTCTCTCTTGTGGTCCCTTGTTAAAGGTATCAAGGAACAGCCAGACGATCCATGTTGTGAATGTTCTAAAATTGTTTTTGCTAGAGACACAGTCCCTTTATGTACCTGATCTGCTTCCAAGTTACTGAAGGCAACTGATTTGCCAAATATCTTGCCACGTAACACGGATCACCTGCTTTCCAGCCTGCTGTGTGACTTTCTTACTGTCTGCCACCCCACTGCTAAGACAATGCTGTATAATTTAGTTTTCATTATGGCAGCACCTCCCTTCCAACACCAATTTCAGGACTAATTAGGATACAGGACAGCCGCTGTAACAGAAGATCCCAGAAGACAGGTGCTCAAAGAAGCTGAAATCATATCTCCTTCTCCGTAGAAGCTGGGAAGTGGTCCAGGGATACTGCAGCTCTGCTCTTCAAGGTCACCAGGGATAGCGGGTCCTCACCTGTTTTTGCGCATCTCATCCCTGAGGTTGTTTCCTCTGACTGTGGCGTTGAATTTGAATCATTCCATCGTATCTGCATTTTAGTCCATTCAAGGCAGAATAAGAGGAAATGGAGTGCAGAGAATTTCCTTATAAAAGCAACCTGTAACTTGCACAAATCACTCCTGCCCACAGTTCATTGGCCAAAATTTAGCCATATAGTCACCCCTGAATGCAAAAGAGTCTGGGAAATGTAACTTCTAACTAGGATGCCACGTGCCCGGCTGGAATTCAAGGGGTTCTATGACTACAAGGAAGAAGGGGGAAATAGATACTGGGGTACAATTAACCGTCTCTGCCACACCCAGCCTGTCCTTGGGAGTAGAGCTCACCCCAGGGTACTTTTCCTTAAATCTCTGCTGTCTAGGAAATAGCCATTTTCTGTCCCTCAGAATCCCAAGACGCAGCTCGTGATTTAGGTCAGACCATTCGTGAGGTGTTGGTTGGAGTGATGACCCTTCTTCTGGGTGGCTGATCTGATGCAGACCCTCAACTGCCCTGACATGAGACAGTAGCAGACAACTACTACTTACTGAATAGCCACTTTGCAATGGTTATTCTTTTAAGTGATTCACGTGCATTACCTCATTTCATCTTCACCAAACCCTACGAGACAGGTATTAAAACGCCTGTGTCCTGTGTTAGGAGACTGCGCCCAGGACTGTGATTGGGAGAACTTCTCACCAACCTTCTCACCCCTGCTAGGTGTGCAGCCAGGTCTCCTTGAAGGAGAGGAAGAGCTGGCTGGTCATGATGCAACAAGGACACCCAGGAGCAGGCTAAGTAACTCTTTATTTTTATTTTTTTTGGTATTCATACAAGAGTGTTTATTTTATTTTTATTTTTTTTTGTATTTTTTTGTATTGTATTTTTTATATTTTGTATTTTTTTATTTTTTTTGTATTTTTTATTTTTATTTTTTTTGTATTCATACAAGAATGTTTATTATGGCATTGTTCATAGTGACAAAAAATGAGAAGCAAAGTGAACGTTCATGAATGGTTGAATAAATTACCCCCATACACACACTACTAAATGTGATATAGCCATTAAATATATAGAACTCATAGAGCAGTATGAATTTGGAGGACTCTTCAAAAGTAGCAAAGGAACTTCCCTAGTAGTCCCGTGGGTAAGATTCCATGCTCCCAATGCAGGGGACCGGGTTCGATCCCTGGTCAGGGAACTAGATCCCGCATACATGCCGCAACTAAGAGTTTGCATGCCACAACTAAAGATCCCACATGCTGCAACTAAGACCTGGCACAGCCAAAGTAAATAAATAAATAAACAAATAAATATTTTTGTAAAAAGAGTAGCAAAAGCAACATGTAAGAAATATGTAAGAGATGATGTAATCTCATTTTAAATATGGGAAAATTGGGCTGTTAATGTGGACTGTTGGGATGGGAGGGTCTCATGGGGGAGGAGAAGAAGCAGAAAGCAGAGATCACAGGGGCTTAAGTAACTTTAATTAACTTGGACTTTGCTGTAGGATCAGCATGTCTTGGAAACTAGAGATCTCCAAAGTGGGGACCATGCACCTCGGGTGGGGTATGGCGTCAGGATGACTCACTGGAATGCAGGAGGACAATTTTAGAACTTTGCTCTGTACTTATTTTTGTCTTATTCTCTAAACATTTTTACTGGGTGTATGCTTTATGACGTGCACACTGTGATTGGAACAGTAGTAAATATATTTAATTGATAAATAAATACGCAACATGAAGTGCTTATGAGACATTGGAATATGATGAGGTGCAAAGCTTGGGGACCACTGCTGCTCCCACAGCCCTCACAGCCCCCTACACCCACAGCAGAGGGAGGACTCAAGGGATGTGGACATTCAGTGGAAACAGCACTTTCTTCACAGGAGCAGGGGGAGAGTCTGCCTGGCATGCAGCAGTAGCGGGGAGGGCATGCTGCTTGACTCTTCCAGGTGGCCAGGCTGTCTCACAACCAATGATGAACCCACGCAGAGCTCACAGAAGACGGAAACCATTTCTCCGGGCTCTCCTGGGGCCTCCTCTCCTGTGTGCAAAACGTGCCTCCCCAGAATCCTTCTCGATCCTTCCGTCCATCTCCTGGAAGTTCCAGCCCTGGCCTCCTGCTACTTTTGTAGACTAGCCAGTGAGTCCCATGTGCCTGGACCTCGGATTCTCCTGATGAAAACACCAGCAAACTCCTTTGCTGGGCTCATTGTAGTGCCACCCATGGGGCTGTCGTGAAGATTAATGACTTGGTTCTCATGACGGGCTTTTAGTAATGTCACCGTCACTATTCTCTGGCTGCCTGTTCTGGGACCTGGTAGCCCTCTTAGGGCTCCTGGGTAAACGTTTGCCATTTGAATAAATACATCCTTCACTCCATCCTTTCCTGCTGCCCAACTTCTAATGAAAACACTTCAAAAACAAGGCCTAAAGCACTATCCTCGCCGGATGTTTCCATCTGGGTCTGGTTAGGAGGCAGAAACCACACAATAATTTGAACAAGGGAAGTTAACTCTAAGGAATTAGTCCACAGTGATAGGAAAGTGGCTATAAAGATGGAAAGAGAACTCTAAGGGGTGCCCTAGGGCAGGGAGACAGCCAAGAAAGGGCAGACTTGGAAGGGGGTTCACCATGGTCGAAGCAGGTGTGGTTGGGGGTCACTGGCTGGGACAGAAGTCCACTGGTGGCCTTGGCCAGAGCTGGCCCATGTCCCTGGGCAGCAGGAACCTGTGTCTAGAGCACAGGCGAGGGGGGCTTGTAGGTGGGTGCACAGAGGGTTCAAGGCACTGCTGCCCACGTGAGGCTGGGGGAGAACAGCAGTGTCCCCACTGCAGCTGGGTGGTCACCAGCCTGGGCCAAGGCTGCCTGTGTGCTAGGGCAGAGCACCACCGGGCACTCATGCACGTGTGCATGCATACACACAACTGACAGTGCAATAGAAATGAAAAAGAGCAAACCCCTCACCCTGAAATGTGGGAAGAGAACCTGGCCTTTTCCTGCAATGTCCCTCTCACGCTGTCTTCTGACAAAGTTTTTTTCCTGCAGTGTCCCTCTCACACTGTCTTCTGACAAAGTTTAGCATTGCTGTCACAGTAAAGGAGAAATGCTGAGAGTACACACAGCCCCTTATCACAGAGCAGGTACTGAAGGGTGAATTTGGATCCAATAGGCAAACAATTGCTATCTGGCACACTGGGTAAAAATCATGGTATTTATCTGCAAGATAGAATTATATGAAGTAATTAAAAATTATGTTTTAGAAGACTATTTAATGCCCTGAGAAAATTCTCATGATATACTAAGTGAAAAAGCAGATTACAAAAGCAATCAATACAGTGTAATCCTAATTTTTAAAAAAAGAGCAAGAAAAAGAGTGAAGATCTTCATTTAAAAAAAGATTCCTGAATGTCTTCTCCTTTTCCCACTGCCTGTCAACCCCCTCCCATCCTTCCCCATGTTTTGGTGAGAGTGAGAAAGTGAGTCAGAGGTCAGGCAGTGTATTAGAGAACCAATGATTTTAATTCCCTTCCGGTCATCTGCCTCACCCCTTGCCCAGGAGGAGCTGGGGAAATGTGCAGGGAAAGTATTATGTTACACAGAATCTCAGCCACTTTCCCTTTCCTTTTTGCTTTCAGAATTCCCCCAGTGATATTGGACTGGCCCCTCCTCAGGCCCAGGAGAACTGGAAAGGATTGGACCCCGGCTTCAGGAAAGGGTGTGAGAAAAGGTGGTTCCCTTTATCCCGCAGACCAGCAAGGATCAGTGGTCTCATGAAGAAAGGTGGTCCATGGCTGACGGTGCTGGGTAAACCATGCTTAACGTATTTTGCTACAGGGTTTCTCAGGGTCTGTGTGTGCCCTAGAATCTCTAGCTGGTCAGCAGCAGGTCCCAGCTTTTATTTTAATTCGTGTGTGTGTTTTGTGGAACACAGTTTGGAAAATGCTGCTATAGAAATATATTTAAGATGTCTACAAACATTTTTAAAGCTTTAAATACCAAAATGCCCAGGATCTCACAGCATCTTTTCTTATCCTGGTGATTGATTTTGTTACAAATAAAAGTGTGTCCTTATAAAAATATAACTGCCTACATATACATGCACATAATGTACACACATAAATGCACACAATATGTATACATATAATGCACATATGTATACGTACATATACATGCATACAGTATACACTCACACACCTACACATACATGTGCACTTACACATGATATGCACATACATACACACATACATGCACATAATATACATGCACATGCATATACATGTAGACATACACATAGATACATATATACGCATAATGTGTACACATATATACACACATACTATGCATACACATACATATACCCACACATATATGTAGACACATGCATACATATATACAAATATGTGCATAATATACACACACTTAACATGTATACATGCGCATAACACATTTATAGACACACACACATGTACATGCATATGCCTACACATACACACTACACACAATATATATACATATACACGCATATAATATACATACATAATGTACGTGCATACATACATATACACACAATGTATGTGCATATACATACACGTATACATGCGTACACATGCATACACACATATACACATTGACAGAGGTCCAAGGACTCTATGACATAGAGGCAGCAGCTCTCATCTCTTAAGGATGAAATTATGGGCAATTTATTTCATCAGTGTGCTTTTCTGTCATCTCCAAAATTCCTGTGGTTAGTTGTTCCTCTTGTATTAAGGCAGAAACACCCGTGAACAGCCTTCTATTGTGTTTTTACTCTGGTGTTACGACCACTCGGAAGGAGAGCTTGGCACACACCCCATCAAGGTGACTGCACAGAGGGTGTCTCTCCCATCACATTTCCCGATGCAGCAGCGACGTTGCAGATGTCAGTGGGGGCAGGTCCTCTGACCCTCTAATGGGCTGTGTCCGATTCTGCAGGGCTTGCTTGCCTTGCAAGGGTCACTCTGTTGTTTTCTCAGCTGCTGGAGCCTGACCCTCTCTGACAATTATTACTTCATGTCAAAAGACTTCCGGGCAAGCTGTCTGGATCTGCCAGGAGAGACGGAGCTGCCCCCATCAAACTCTGGGCTGCGAGGCTCAGGCGGAGGGTGAAAGGTTCTGGAGTTTTCTGTGGAAAGACACCTTGGCCCCGCTCCTGTGCCCCCCCACCCCTGCCCTCCCTAGTAACCCCTCACCAGCCTTCAGCTTCCCTCCAAGCTGGAGCAGAGACCTTAGGCAGTGGCACCATCACGGGGCCAGGTCTGTGCTGTGAGAAAGTGACAAGAAAGATGGCCCTGGGCTGCTGGCTGACCATCTTCAGGATGGATGATCTGAGTGTCCTGGAATTTGTTCCAAGAGAAAGTGGTGAGGGCTTCTCTCTCCCTGTAATAACGACCCACTTCAATCCCCAGGTTTCCTGCAGGCGTAACGCAGGAGGGAGCGAGGCCCGTGTTCACAGCCTCCATCATCTCTCACCGGCTCTTGTTTACAAAGTGCCAACCCAGGCTGCATGCTGCTCTGGGCCTTCCTGGAAGGGGTCATTCATCTGGGAGGAAAGTAGGGGTCCCTGAGAATGATGAAGGGCGATGGAGGGCGGCCACCAGGGCCTCCTACCTCTGTGTTTCCCAGAAGAAGGTCACAAGATGGCAGGGACCAGCCTCGGTCCAGGGAGCACCTCCTCAGGCAGAAGCTGGTGGAACTTCGGGTTCTGACTCCCAAGTTCAATGGCACCAGCGACGTGTAGCTCTAACTTGTGACTTCTCCTGCCTCTCTCTGTGTGTGCCCATGGGGGTGGCCTGAGGAAATGCCACTGCTTCCTGGCAGTGCTGAGAGCTGCCCTCTGTTTACATGGATGAATCTAGAATGAAGATGGCTAATCACAACAATGGCTAATACTTTTGGAAGGCCTACCGTGTGCCGGAAAGAAGTGCTTGTAATGGATTATTTCACTTAAAGCAGTCTTTCAACACGTATCCTGTGTGCCGGCAAGGTTCTAGGCACTGCAATGCAGCAGTGGATGAAAGAGACAGAATCCCACGGATGAACAACATGTGGTCTGTACACACGACGGGACAGTATTCAGCCTTAGAGGAAGGGAATTCAACCACGTGCTACAACATAGATGAACCTTGAGGACGTTGTGAAGGAAATAAGCCAGATACAAAAGGACAGATACTGCAGGATTCCACTTACATGAGGTACCTGGAGTAGTCAAGTGCATGGGGATAGGAAGCAGAATGGTGGCTGCCAGGGGCTGGTGGGAGTGGGGAGCATGGGGAGTTGTTGTTTAATGGTGTTGACCTGAAACAAATAGACAGCCAGATATTTCTCCAGCAAAGAGGGTTTATTCAGAATCAGCAGAGAACTGCAATTCGGAGTCTGTGACAATGGTGAACACGTACAAGTCCCCACCTGGCAAGGGAAGGAGAACCCTTTTACAGGGGGGATTGCCTGGGGTTTTAAGAACGTGGATGCACAACCCCTCTTCCCTGGGCTTTTAAAAAAGTTCCTCAGGTAATTGTCTTGGGCAGGTGGGGCTGAGAATCACTAATTCACAGCCTTGAGTGCACATTTAATCAACCTGGAGCTTTAAAAAAATACTGGTGTCTGGGTCCCATCCTGAGGTTCTGATGTCGTTGTTTGAGTGCCTTTGGGCTACAGCGCTTCTGAAAGCTCCCAGGGTGGTCTACTTTACATCCTTGACTGTGAGCCAGACTGGCAGCTCTGAGTCTGGCAACCGTCTTGCCATGGCCAAAGCCCCCATGAAGCACTGTGCCTGGGACCCGTGACACTCTCAGGGGCCCGCGACTTTTAGTTTTCATTTCTTTTAAAATCAGAAGCAAAAAGATGAACTTTTAGGTTGAAGAAAATGTTGTCATATATATTATTAATATATTCACCTTTGTACCAACAGAGCCATAAAATGGAATTTTTAAGATTTTTTTGTTGTTGAGGAAGAGCCCACGAGTGTCATGGTGCTGCCCCAATGTCCGCTTTGCTCTTGGCAGCCCCAGGGCCCTGTCCAGAGCTTTGAACCCAGTGGGCGCTGAGTGAATGAGGGAGGAGACTCAAAGGATTAAACAGCTACAAGGAAAATGAAATGCATTACGAGGGGGATGGATGCTCGTGGGACATTCCATGGAACTCATCCCACTGGCAGAGCTTGAAAGATGTGGAGAGATCAGGCTGGAAAAAAAATAAGGAAAGTGAGGTTGAGGAGAAAACTGCCTGAGGATAATGCAAAGGACATCTGGCAGGACCAGGGGCATCTCTCTGTCTCCCTGTCTCTGTAAGTCTCTATCTCTGTCCCTCCAGTCTCTGTCCCTTTCTTTCTCCACAAGAGCTGCAAGCCTTATTCAGTTTGAAGCAGAAGAATTTGAGATGGATGTCTGGGGAGACTTCTAGAACCTACAAATTATCCTACACAAGACAGGATTATTTGCAAGCAGAGCAGCGACCAGGGTGCGGCAGGCTAGGTAGTCACCCAAGCTGCCCACCTGGGGGTTTTGCCCCGTGAGTTGGGCCCCCGGGATGCCTCACTGCCTCATCCCAGTCACTGCGCTTCTTCCAGGGGTCAGTGTGGCCTGTCCTCATCGGGGGATGTTTGAGGAGGCAGGTGGCTCTTTCTGGGGCTCTCTGAGCCCTCCCCGGGCTGGAAGCAGGGAACGGGTGTGATCATTTGTGAGGTCCATTCCCCAGGATAAGGGCAGCTTTCTCGAGCAGACAGATAAGGGACCTGGCCTTTGGCTCATCTAAAAACAATTGAGGGACTTCCCTGGCGGTCCAGTGGTTAAGACTTTTCCTTCCAGTGCAGGGGGTGCCGGTTCGATCCCTGGTCGGGGAGCTAAGATCCCACATGCCTCGTGGCCAAAAACATAAAACAGAAGCAAGGTTGTAACAGATTCAGTAAAAACTTTGAAAATGGTCTTTGGACCAAAAATGGTCCACATCAAAAAAAAAAAAATCTTAAAAAAACCAATTGAAATAAAAAAGCAAGCTGGCAATAAAGAGTTTCCTGGGACCCCAGCGGGAGTGCCCTGTGCTGACCATTCTGAGCTTGGATTTCCAGCTTCCAGTGGAGAGAGGCGCTCTAAGAATTCTGTGGTCAGAGCCTCCAGGAGGCCTGGCCCGGGGCACCTGCCTCTTGTAGGTAGGTCGGGTGCCTGGGTTGAGAAACCCACTTAAGGCAAGCCATGGAAGGAGAGCCTGCACACATGACCTGTTCCAGAAAGATGCACGAGAACACAGTCTATTCATATGTTAGGAATAGAGAGTGGCTCATAGGGTGTTTTGTAAAGGCTCGTGCACCAGTGTTCGTCTCAATCAGGCTGACCCGTGGAGGGTGGGCAGAGGGTGGGCCAGGGCAGACCTCCCTTAATGAATGTCCTGCAGAGCCCACGTTGTCACACCCCCAGATGCCGCTCCTGTGGCAGGCCTGCGAAGGAAGCGGGCCTGGAATTTTCAAGCCTCTGCTGGAACACAGCCTGGAGCTTTGTGCAGCGCTATGAAATGTTACTGTGTGATGGCCCTTGGTGGTTACCAAGCTGCTTCACTCTCTGGAAGCCCGCCTTCCTGCTCTCCACGCCCACGAGCACTGGAAGTGGGTTGAGGGCAGGGCAGGGCCACACATCCTCTGGTCCTGAAGAGCCTTTCCCCCAGCGCGGCTGCCTTTAACCAGTGAGCATCTGCAGACCCAGAAGCCTGCCTCTGCTGGGATGTCCCCAAGTGCCCCACCCCTTTCGGGGGAAGTGACACCACACCTTTAACACCCCATTAAACAACCTGAGGTTCCATTTTCACTCCCCTGTGGAAAGAGCCCAGCCTCTCCCCACTCAGTCCAAAGGCCACTTTCCTCTGGAATAATTGGGGGTTGTCTCACTTCTGCCCCAGAGATGGCCACATGCCAGCCTGTTTTCTGACAGCCCTGGACACAGAGCTGCCAGCCTGGGGATTCTGCCCACTTCCTTCATCCCCTGGGGAACATCAGCCCAGGCGTCTTCCTGACAGTTCGGGACAGCAGGGGTGGGTTCATGACAGCTGACAGGCGACCACTGAACATGTGGCCCTTTCTGTCCCAAGGGACCCCCCCCCCACAGCCAGGCCTTCCAGGAACCTCCTCACTGGCCACTTTCTTCTTGGGGTGCTGGCCAGCCCCTCCCTTCATCACAGGGCTCCCCCTGCCCCTCCAGCCCTCCAGGGAAATTCTGGTTTTATTGCTTAAATTACTGTTGCTTTTTTATGCTGAGGTTTGAACCCTGCTTTGGCTAAACCCCTTTTATCTGGGCAACACCTTTTGAGGGAAGGGGCAGGCGTTTCTTTTAAACCCAGAAGACCCAGGAAAGCCCACTTAGGGCTTCTGCACCCACCCTGGAGCTCCATTTTGTCTCTCACCTGGAACACGCTTTCTTCTTTCATTCTTCACAGCAGCGACTCCGTCCTGGGACAGACTCTGGGGTCCAGGAAGGGCCTGTAGGTGGATACCGCGTGTCACAGCTACCTCTCCGGGTTTTGTGATGCCTTGGCACGATTGGCCAAGTCGATGGGTGGGGTCATCCTGTCTTGGGGATGAGAGGCCATCTTGCTAAGTGTTCTTACTCGCTGCTTCTCCAGAGGCTGGTTCTTCCACTGAAAAATTCTATGCTGAGTTCATCTTTGGTTTCAGATCTGGCTGCCAGATTTGGACAGGGCAGCTTTCTCTGGTCATTTATGGCTCTTCTCCTTGCTCCGGATGGAGTCATAGCTGGTTTGGAAAAGTGAGACCCCCAAGGAGACCATTACTGGGTCTCTGTTAAAATCAGGGCCCTCCCATGTTCCAGCTGAAATCTGAGGGCAGGGCAGAGCCTCAGGGACTCCCAGTGATTCTGAGTCAGAGAGGACAACAGAGAGCCTGGCTTCCTGCAGGGTGTTGATCACACGCACACGTATACACATGCACACACGTGTGTGCACACATGCACGTACATATGTGCACACACATGAATGTGCTAACAAATGCATGCAAGCACGCACACGTGCACACCCATGTATTCACGCACAAGCACACCCTTAAATGGTCCTGCACGCTTACGGTCCCACACCTAGTTGGGGTGCCCAGGGACCTGTGTACACACCAGTCCAGCTTCAGAAACAGCTGTTCTTGAAGTGTATTCTGTCCTAACTTGTAGGTGGCAGGTGAAAATGGCTACGGAAGACTGTAGCCTCCCAACTTACTTTTGTGGGATGAGAAGAGTATGAGGTCTGAAGGGTTTGGGGAAACAGAAGGACCTGAGTTGGGTCTTCACAGACAGGTAGGGTTTGAATAAGCAGAAGCACGTGGGGCATTTAAGACTGGGGAGTCTGTGTAAATAAAGATTGGTGTGGGAGCTAGTAGCTTGGGTGAGAGCACGCTGGCGGGACTGGAGTGGAGGTGGGTGGAGAGAACAGGCATCGAGGGTCAGAGGAAAGGGAGCTTGGAAGTCTGCATGATGGGAGGGGCACTAGGAACCACTAACATTTCTCAAAAAGAACAAGAAGAAAAGGAAGGAATGTTGACACCTACTTACTCTTCGCAGAATTCTAAACCAGGTGCTTTACATTTATTTAGTCCTTACCATAATCCTGTAAGGTAAGGTATTATTATTCCTATTTTTACAATTGAGGCAGTTGAGGCTCAGAAGATGATGTAACCAACCAGGGCTGCCTATCTTGTAATTGATGTGGCCAACTTTCAAACCCAGTTCTCCCGAGTTCCAAAGGTCCTGTTTGTTGCCTGTATCACACTGTCTCCCAAGAAGAGAAACAGGGCTAAAATTAATTTGAGGAAAGATTAATCTAGCTGCAGCGAAGACACAGACAGATTGGAGGTGGGGGTTAGGGGACCTGCTATTGAAATAAACAAGAGTGAGATGAATGTACAAGGTGAGCCTGGACCATCCTGTCAGCCCAGAAAGCATGGAAACTATCAGAGTGCACGCAGGAGCGAAAGTCCTAGTAGCCAAAGATGAGGCAATTCAGACATCAGTTACAGTGATAACTGCAAGGGATTGATTGCAATGGATTAAAATACATCAGATATGTTGAAATCGAAGCCTTTATAGCAATGCTAAAAATCAAGCGCTCCTTGGTCACTTTTGGAGAAGGTTAGGGAAGCAATTCAATCTTTGGGAAACTGGTATAAGAAGGGAAAAATCAAGCATTCATTCTGTTTTTCCATGAAGTT